CTGAGGCCTGACAGGGGAGGGGCAGGAGACCAAGTGGAGAAAGGCAGGGCATTGCCTTCCTGTGCTCTCTGGGCCCTCAGCTAAGGGCTGCCCTTGATGGTTGATCATGTGTGAGGAAGATGATCTAGATGGAGGAAGTGAGAAGGGCTTACTACACAATGTCTGCATTATGATCCTGGTTTTGTAATATTAAGATAAAAAGTCAAACTGTAGACACATTAGTGTAACAGGAGGGTTGTAGGCTTAGATCTATGTGTTTAGACATGCAGAGATAAACTTAGAAACTTTGGGGTTATTAAAATCATATTCTTGGGCCTTCCTTGGTAGTCCAGTGGTTAAGACTACCTGCTTCCACTGAACGGGTTGTGGGTTCAGTCCCTGGTTGGGGAATTAAGATCCCACATAGTGAGTAGTGCAGCTAAAAAATAATAATAATAATAATAATAAAAACAGAGTGTACAATTTGATCAGTTTAAATAAAATAAAAGAAAACCACATTCCCTACTTATATACCAGTGTCAGAAGGCCTAGTCTTGGCCTCTACTCTGCCCATGGAGAGCTGTGTACCCTGGACAAGCCACCTCCCCAGGGAGTGTTGTTCAGTTCTCTTCAGTTCAGTTCAGGTCAATCGCTCAGTCATGTCCGACTCTTTGCGACCCCATGAATCACAGCATGCCAGGCCTCTCTGTCCATCAGCAACTCCCAGAGTTTACTCAAACTCATGCCCATCACGTCAGTGATGCCATCCAGCCATCTCATCCTCTGTCGTCCGTCCCCTTCTCCTCCTGCCCCCAATCCCTCCCAGCATCAGGGTCTTTTCCAATGAGTCAACTCTTTGCATGAGGTGGCCAAGGTACTGGAGTTTCAGTTTCAGCATCAGTCCTTCCAATGAACACCCAGGACTGATCTCCTTTAAGATGGACTGGTTGGATCTCCTTGCAGTCCAAGGGACTCTCAAGAGTCTTCTCCAACACCACAATTCAAAAGCAACGATTCTTCGGCGCTCAGCTTTCTTCATAGTCCAACACTCACATCCATACATGACCACTGGAAAAACCATAGCCTTGACTCTTACCCATTTTTAAAAGCTGGTTTCAGTCTGCTCATATGACTTTGTAGCTTCTCTCTGTGTTGGGGATATTCACCTTTATCTTCTCTAAGTATTGCAGACATTGTCTCCAGATCTCTTGCATTTTGATTTGGTTTACGGTGTCCTTAGCAATTTCTAACTTTTAAGAGGTCCAATGTTTTCTGGGATGTGTCTTGGTGAGAGTTTTCCTCAAGTTAGCAGTATTTTTCCAATATGTTTTGCATAATGTTTTCATTTCTTCCAGTTTGTCTGTAGATTTTTTTTCATTCTGGTTTACCTTTAGATCCCTTTAGGTTTCACTAATTGATTAGAGCTTTTTGTTTCTTCTTCTTTCTCTTTTTCTTCCACCTTCTACCTTTTCCCTCCTTCTTTTTTTTCTCCTCCTCCTCTCCTGCTCTCCCAGACTCCCTACCTTCCTTCCTGCATGTCTGCTGCTTTATCCCCTTAAAGCAGGATTTATTTAACAGGTACCTACTGCAATCAAGAAGAAATACACTGTTTTTTTCTGCCTTTAAAGGAGCCTCCAGTGCAGTAAGGCATTATTCAGATTTTAGCAGGAGCCCATGTCTTTCCACAATTCACTCTTCCTCTTTCTCCTCCTGTAAAAATATCATGGCTGGAGAAAGGAAACATGAGGAAATACAGGTGTTTCCTGCCACCTGAAAGTACAGTATTCCTATAAAAGCTTTCCTAAACCAAGATGGCATAGTGTGAAGAGGATGTAGGCCTCACTTCACAGTTTACTGGCAGAGGGTGATCTTTTGGAAAGCAAGGGATGCCCATAAATGGAAACAGTCAGAAACCTGATTGCATTCTCTGTCAGCAAGGGCTTCTATCAAGACAGATAAGGAAAGCAAATGGAATTACCCAACTTCAGGTAAAAGAGGTGTGGTGCTGTGTCTTCAAGAAGTTGGTGGTTTCATGTCCCAGTAATGGATCCCACACCTTGTATTTTAGCCAGGCTTCACCTGGGAGGGTGGAGGGAGCCCCAGAGGCCCTGGAGCAGGAGGAGCAGCAGAGAAGAGACAGGGCACCTGCCCAGTGCTGGGAGCTGAAGAAACTCCACACAAACAGACCCACAACCAGGAAAGTGTAAGATTCCCGGGGAAACTGGACAGGAACTGGATGAGACAGCAGGGGGAGGAGGCTTTGGAGTGGGAACTCTAATTACAGGTAACATTTCACCTGGTGAGGCAGGTGGGGAACGGCATTGCAGAAGGAGGGGCAGCCTGAGTGAAGTTCTGGAGGCTGGGGGGGAATCAAAGTCCAGGGAGCTGGGAGTCCTCCAGGCCCCTTGACCAGGCCCTGAGAAAGCAGGAGGGTGAGGAAGACGAGTAGGAGCATCAGGAGGGCCTGGTGATGGGCTAAGGACTCTGCATTTGATCCTGCCCTAACCCACCCCCCCCCCCCAACTTTCTCTGCCCAAGGTGGATAACTTGCAGCCACATGGACGGAGATGTTTGGTGAGAATCTCTGCCCACATGGAGGGGAGGCCTCTGCATCTGGCCATATAGTTGGGTAGGGACAGTCTTTTCAGGGTTCTCCTCTCTCCCACTGATAGGCTTTTCGAGCAGTGACCAATCAGAGGCTAACAGAGGAGGACGCCCTGGATAGAAATCCAGCAGAGGGAGCACTGTCCAGCATCCACACCCAGCTGAGGCCCAAGACAAGGGTCAGGACAAGGACAAGAATGGCAGGGAAGGATGGAAGGATGAGATCAAGGGTCCAAATGCATTTTCAAGTGTTCAGCATCATCCAGGATCAGCCCTTTCTGCCCAAGCTCTTCTCCTGTCTCTGCCTTGGCTCTTGGTCCTAGTGTTTCCGAATTTCAATTGGCTGCCCTAGCTCCTGGGGACACACAGCTTCAAGGCAGAGAAGGAGGCAGGGGACCAACCAGCTCTCCTCTCCCACCTGCCTGGGGACAGGCCTGTCTGTGTAAATTCTCTCCCATCCACACAGTCAGTGCCCACAGCCTCTGTCACCAGGCATACTCCCTAGTAATCAAGCTGATGGTTACTCTTCTTGAGGGGAACCCTGGGCATTGCAGAGGGAAGGTGATAGAAAGAAAGATTCTAGGATCAGGGCTCAGGTTAGGGGGTTTGGGAAAAACTCTAAGGAAGTTGGGCCACTCTAGACTGGGTGCTGTAGAGAATGGCAGGGGCAGTTTTATCAGTGATTGTTTCAGTAACTTTATCTATGGAGAGGGGAGACCAGAGCAAGGTTAAATGTGCAATTGTTAAATAAAAAGCAGTCATAATTTTCAGCCCAGGGAGGGAGTGTGAAGACTCTGGTTTCCTGTCGCCACCATCCCTGCTTTTTTATTACTATTATTGTTAGAAGCAAAGTGAGAAGAAGACAGGTATGGGATCTTGAGCCCAGAGAGTGAGTTGGGGTCCAGTTCTCCATGAACAAGGCTTCTGACCTCAGGCAAATCATAGAACATCTATGCTTCAGCTTCCTTAGCTGTAAATGGGGATACAGTGGTACACACCTCCTGGTCATCAGAACAATATGATTATAATTTATAAAGTCTTAGTTAGAGTAACTAGCAGTGCAGAGCAAAATCAGAAATACAAGCCACTCTCAAGAATAGCTGTTACTGTAACTATAAGGACCTTTACTATCATTTCAGCCAGGTCTCAGGAAGAATACTTAAATAAGTACTCTTTTGCCTTCTTAAAATACTGCCTAAGTATAATTAACATGGCTTCTTTTCTCATCTGCCAACACAAGATAGTCACAACCAGAGCTAAAAGAAGTTCTGTCTATATAAAGATCTGCTATTTAAAAAAATAATAGAGAACTGGCAAGACAAAGGATGGACACCATCACATATGATATGTGTGAATGGAAATTTGTACACTTTCTTTGCATAACAAAGTAGCGTAAGTATGAAAAAATGTTAGGTGTTGATACCCTTGGATCCAGCATTCTACTTCTAGAAATAGCTTAATGAAAGAATCTTAAATGTAGGCAAAGTTTTATACAAGAAGAGTGTTCTTTGCACTATTATTTACATAAAGGATTAAAAACAGCCTGAAGTCCAACAATCAGGAGTGGACAGCAAACAGGACACCATTCAGGTCCTCAGCTGACCAGGGAAGGGCTGCAGGGATTCGAGTGGAGCTGGTGGGACTCCAGAAAAAAGGTTTGTGGGATAAAGGCTGTTGTAGAAGCGAGGAAGATGTGGGCTGTGGGAGCTACAGTACTGGGAACTTTATCAAGGCAGAGACTCGACCACAGGGTGCATGACATCATTTTGCAATAAAAAGTCATTTTCCAATTAACATGCATCCACAAATAGACATTTTTGTACATTAAAGCAAGTAGAGCTTAGTCATCACAAACCTGGAATTTGGATCAGAAAGACTTGGGTTCAAGGCCGGGCTCCAGCAGAAATGGGAAAACTTGGACTGACCTAAGTTTAGGTGAGTTTCAGGAGCCTGCACATCATAGACAATGGATCATTATCACCTGTAACCAATTAGTAACACAAGCATTCCCAACCTCATGTAATTTCCAGAGTGTTCCCTTCCTACCTGTTCTTCTGTCTCTGGTTTTATTGCTCCTGTAACTTTGCAGATGGCTGTCTCCTCTCTGATTATCCTCTCCTTGTGCCCCAACAGGAGAGCAGGACTCTGGCTGGGGAGGACGGAGGGAAGATGAGTAACTTTCCTTAACAAGTGATCTGCAGAGCCCAGGGGACAGAGAACCACGCTGCGCTAAGTCCCTGGTGGCGCTGGTGGCCGTCCCAGGGAAACCTGCCAGAGACCACGCCCCTCGCTGCTCCCTACAGCCACTGCTCACACATGATCAAGCCCACAATCTGTTTTCTCTTCCCCAAGGGTGAAACGACACCTTCCAGCCTGACACAGACGGGTGAGATCTCTGAAACCCTGCTGCTGCCACCATGAGCTCAGAAGATCCCAGGGACCGCTCAGGTAGTCAGCCACCTCGTCTCTGGCAGGTTCCTACTTGTGACCCAGAATTGAGTGTGGTGCCTCCAGGCCAAATTAACCTGCCAAGTAATCAAGAACCAAGAAAGGTGTGGAGAAGCATCCCCCAGAGAGGCAATGGGGAGTCCCCTAACACTTGCTGGTCTGTTCCCACAGCCTCTTTTCTGGTCCTCAGGGAGCCACAGACAAGATGCAAACTTCCTCCCCCTGCCTTCTGACCCCCTGCTAATGACTCAGAAGTAAGGCCAGGATAGCCCATGGAGGGGGCGGGCACAGCAGAGGAAGTCTCCAAGGCCAGGTGGGACAGGGAGGGGAGGTCCCCTGGAGCTTCTCCTGCCCTCTCCCTTGGTCTAAGCCTCCTTCTGCTCCCAGACCCTGGGCTGTCAACACAGAGGCTGTTTCCTCCATCGCTCACCCTGCTGCCCACCCAGCTGCTCTCTGAGGGTCGGCAGACTCTAAACTGAACCCCAATCTGGCCTTTGCTGCCTCCCACACCTGTGTGACCTGGAGCACCTTACCTGAGAAGGATATTTCCCTATGTTGTGATGAGGACCAAATATAATGTGTGTCCGTGGCCTGGGCCGGGGCCTACCACATAGTACGTCCTGCCTAGTGTCGTGCTGTTCCCCCTACCTGGAATGTGTTAATTCCAAGTAGAAACCGCTCCCCTTCTCTAGAATCCCCTCTCCCCTGTGGAGTGTTAGGGCCCCTGCCCAGTGCTCCCATGATACACACCTGATTACCAGGTAACTGTCTCAGGCAGGTACTAGTCCTGTTGTTCTCAAACGCCCACGCAGACACCCAGTTCAGTTCAGTCGCTCACTCGTGTCCGACTCTTTGCGACCCCATGAATCGCAGCACACCAGGCCTCCCTGTCCATCACCAACTCCTGGAGTTTACCCAAACTCATGCCCATCGAGTCAGTGATGCCATCCAGCCATCTCATCCTCTGTCATCCCCTTCTCCTCCTGACCCCGATCCCTCCCACCATTAGGGTCTTTTCCAATGAGTCAACTCTTCGATGAGGTGGCCAAAGTATTGGAGTTTCAGCTTCAGCATCAGTTCTTCCAATGAACACCCAGGACTGATCTCCTTTAGGATGGACTGGTTAGATCTCCTTGCAGTCCAAGGGACTCTCAAGAGTCTTCTCCAACACCACAGTTCAAAAGCATCAATTTTTTGGCGCTCAGCTTTCTTCATAGTCCAACTCTCACATCCATACATGACCACTGGAAAAACCATAGCCTTGACTAGACGGACCTCTGTTGGCAAAGTAACGTCTCCTTTTAATATGCTATCTAGGGTGGTCATAACTTTCCTTCCAAGGAGTAAGTGTCTTTTCATTTCATGGCTGCAATTACCATCTGCGGTGATTTTGGAGCCCCCAAAAATAAAGTCTGACAATGTTTCCACTGTTTCCCCATCTACTTGCCATGAAGTGATGGGACCAGATACCATGATCTTAGTTTTCTGAATGTTGAGCTTTAAGCCAACTTTTTCACTCTCCTCTTTCACTTTCATCAAGAGGCTCTTTAGTTCTTATTCACTTTCTGCTATAAGGGTGGTGTCATTTGCATATCTGAGGTTATTGATATTTCTCCCAACAATCTTGATTCCAGCTTGTGCTTCCTCCAGCCTAGCATTTCTCATGATGTACTCTGCATATAAGTTAAACAAGCAAGGTGACAATATACAGCCTTGACATACTCCTTTTCCTATTTGGAACCAGTCTGTTGTTCCATGTCCAGTTCTAACTGTTGCTTCCTGACCTGCATAGAGGTTTCTCAAGAGGCAGGTCAGATGGTCTGGTATTCCCATCTCTTTCAGAATTTTCCACAGTTTATTGTGATCCACACAGTCAAAGTCTTTGGCATAGTCAATAAAGCAGAAGTAGATGTTTTTCTGGAACTCTCTTCCTTTTTCAATGATCCAGGGGATGTTGCCAATTTGATCTCTTGTTCCTCTGCCTTTTCTAAAACCAGCTTGAACATCTGGCAGTTCATGGTTCACATATTGCTGAAGTCTGGCTTGGAGAACTCTGAGCGTTACTTTACTAGTGTGTGAAATGAGTGCAGTGGTGTTGTAGTCTGAGCATTCTTTGGCATCGCCTTTCTATGGGATTGGAATGAAAACTGACCTTTTCCAGTCCTGTGGGCACTGATAAGTTTTCCTAATTTGCTAGCATATTGTGTGCAGCACTTTGACAGCATCATCTTTTAGGATTTGAAATAGCTCAACTGGAATTCCATCACCTCTACTAGCTTTGTTCATAGTGATGCTTCCTAAGGCCCACTTGACTTCACATTCCAGGATGTCTGGCTCTAGGTGAGTGATCACACCATCGTGATTATCTGGATCATGAAGATATTTTTTGTATAGTTCTTCTGTGTATTCTTGCCACCTCTTCTTAATATCTTCTGCTTCTGTTAGGTCCATACCATTTCTGTCCTTTATCGAACCCATCTTTACATGAAATGTTCCCTTGTTATCTCTAATTTTCTTGAAGAGATCTCTAGTCTTGCCCATTCTGTTGTTTTCCTCTATTTCTTTGCATTGATCGCTGAGGAAGGCTTTCTTATCTCTCCTGGCTATTCTTTGAGAACTCTGCATTCAAATGGGTATATCTTTCCTTTTCTCCTTTGCTTTTCACTTCTCTTCTTTTCACAGCTATTTGTAAGGCCTCCTCAGACAGCCATTATGCTTTTTTGCATTTCTTTTTCTTGGGGATGGTCTTGATCCCTGTCTCCTGTACAATGTCAGGAACCTCCATCCATAGTTCTTCAGGCACTCTGTCTATCAGATTTAGTCCCTTAAATCTATTTCTCACTTCCACTGTATAATCATAAGGGAGTTGATTTAGGTCATACCTGAATGGTCTAGTGGTTTTCCCTACTTTCTTCAATTTAAGTCTGAATTTGGCAATAAGGAGTTCATGATCTGAGCCACAGTCCACTCCTGCACTTGTTTTTGCTGACTGTATAGAGCTTCTCCATCTTTGGCTGCAAAGAATATAATCAATCTGATTCTTCTGTGTTGACCATATGGTGATATCCATGTGTAGAGTCTTCTCTTGTGTTGTTGGAAGAAGGTGTTTGCTATGACCAGTGCGTTCTCTTGGCAAAACTCTATTAGCCTTTGCCCTGCTTCATTCTGTACTCCAAGGCCAAATCTGCCTGTTACTCCAGGTGTTTCTTGACTTCCTACTTTTGCATTCCAGTCCCCTATAATGAAAAGGACATCTTTTGGGGCTGTTAGTTGCAAAAGGTCTTGTAGGTATTCATAGAACCGCTCAACTTCAGCTTCTTCAGCATTAACAGTTGGGGCATAGGCTTGGATTACCGTAATATTGAATGGCTTGCCTTGGAAACGAACAGAGATCATTCTGTCGTTTTTGAGACTGCACCCAAGTACTGCATTTTGGACTCTTTTGTTGACCATGATGGCTACTCCATTTCTTCTAAGGGATTCCTCCCCACAGTAGTAGATATAATGGTCATCTGAGTTAAATTCACCCATTCCAGTCCATTTTAGTTCTCTGATTCCTAGAATGTCGACGTTCACTCTTGCCATCTCCTGTTTGACCACTTCCAATTTGCCTTGATTCATGGACCTAACATTCCAGATTCCTATGCAATATTGCTCTTTACAGCATCAGACCTTGCTTCTATAACCAGTCACGCCCACAACTGGGTACTGTTTTTGTTCTGGCTCCATCCCTTCATTCTTTCTGGAGTTATTTCTCCACTGATCTCCAGTAGCATATTCGGCGCCTACCGACCTGGGGAGTTCCTCTTTCAGTATCCTTTCATTTTGCCTTTTCATACTGTTCATGCGGTTCTCAAGGCAAGAATACTGAAGTGATTTGCCATTCTCTTCTCCAGTGGACCACATTCTGTCAGACCTCTCCACCATGACCCGTCCGTCTTGGGTGGCCCCACACGGCGTGGCTTAGTTTCACTGAGTTAGTTAGACAAGGCTGTGGTCCCTGTGATCAGATTGGCTAGTTTTCTGTGATTATGGTTTTAGTGTGTCTGCCGTCTGATTCCCTCTCACAATACCTACTGTCTTACTTGGGTTTCTCTTACCTTGGACATGGGGTATCTCTTCACGTCTGCTCCAGCAAAGCGCAGCTGCTGCTACTTACCTTGGAGGAGTCGCCCCTCCGGACCTTGAACGTGGAGTAGCTCCTCTCGGCCCTCCTGAGCCCATGCAGCCACCGCTCCTTGGACGTGGGGTTGCTCCTCTCGGCCGCTGCCCCTGACCTTGAGCGTGGGATAGCACCTCCCAGCCGCGCTTCCTGCGCGGTCCATGGCAGGCACTGCGCTTCTGGAGTGGGTAGCCTTTCCGTTCTCCAGGGGATCTTCCCAACCCAGGGATTGAACCCAGGTCTCCTGCATTGCAGGCAGATTCTTTACCAGCCGAGCCACAAGGGAAGCCCTCAGTAAGTGTTAGTTGCTCAGTCATGTCCGACTCTTTGCGACCCCATGGACTGCAGCCCACCAGGCTCCTCTGTCCATGAGATTTTCCAGGCAAGGATACTGGAGTGGCTTGCCAGTTCCTTTTCCAGGGGATCTTCCCAACCCAGGGGATCTTCCCAACCCAGAGATCTTCCCAACCCAGGGATAGAACTCGGGTCTCCTGCACTGCAGGCAGATTCTTTACTGACTGAGCTACAAGGGAAAGCCGCAGACACCCAGGTGCTCAGTTATTTCCTCCACCCATACCCACCCTAATCAATCAAAACACAGATCTAGTGCTGTGGTTTCCCTCCATGTGAGCCCTGAGTTCATTTCTCCCCTAGTGATACATGAGAAAAAGAAAACCTAAGAACACTTAATACTACAGGGAAGAGAAAGAGAGGAAGAGATCTGGCGTCTCTTCATTTAATGACACTGATATTACTGAATGAAGGCCCCACACTTAAGGCCTCATTTCACCTAATTACTGACTTAAAGCCCCCTATCTTCTAATAACAGTCATTGCAGAGTGGGTGGGTCTGGGCGTTAACCTATGAACTGTGGCTGGTGCATACAGTCCACCTGACACCCCAGATAAATCCATCAACAGCATGCCAGATGAATGCTGCTGAGAAAGGTGAACTTTAACCACTTATACTCGATATCATTTACATCACCCCATAGTTTATTTGAATCTTCAATTATTTTTATTTTTCTGTCTAGAGAGCCAAAGCTTTTTTGAGGATGTCGTTGAGTTTCTCCAGAAGAGTGTGAGATGGGAACACCTGAAATTCCTGCTCGAAGACAAACCCTGGGAGAATTTTGTGACTGAGGCCGGTTTGTCCAGGTAACCATGCAGGTACACCAGAAATGTCACCAACACGCCCCCAGGAAGATTCTCCCAGGCTAGTTTTCTCCAGGCAGATCCTATGGTTGGGGTCGAGGATGTTCCTCCTCAAGATCCTATGTGGAATGCTTCCTCCGTGTTATTTGTTGGCAGTGAATGACGTTGGGTTGAGAAGAGATGAAACCTGAAAGGAAGGGCAGGTTATATGACCTTGGACAAGTTACTGAACTACTCTCTGCTTCATCATCTGTTCAGTTTTATTCTGAGGACTCTGAGATCATGCATGCAAGTGTTTTTCATGATTGCTGACACAGAGTAGGTGCTCAATCTATGTTAATTTTAAGATAAGCTTGTTGGGAAGAATCAGGGACCTTCTTCCTGGAGATGAGAACCAAGAAGGACTTCCTTTGGGTCAAGTCGGAAAATCCTGACCCGAATATCATTTTGTGTTCCTCGGAATTGACTAGAACTCTTTCATTCCCCATCTTAGGAATTATACCAACACTGCATGTTCCTGCTGGCTAATAAGGCAGAGAGGCTGGAGGGGAACTGGTTGGACCTGGTGGGATCCTGGATCTAGCCCTGCCCAACTCTGGGCCTGTGGGTTTAAGACTTTGAGTCTCAGATTTGTTATGTGTTATGTGTCCAGTGGGAATAGCAATTCAATCTGATGGATTGTAGTGATAACCTCAGAGTGAACCGCAGGTCAGAGGTGGGGAACCAAGTGCAATCATCTCATCCAAAGGCCCAGGGAGACCTGGACCAGGGTCAGACCAGGGGTCAGGGTAGAGCAGAGGGTCCAGGTTGTAGGACTAGTAGGCAGGCTTGGGCAGCAGGGCCAGGACTAGAGTGAGGAGGGTAGGCCCCAAGGACGCAGAAATGAAGGGGCTGTGACTCTAACAGAGGTCCCAGGAGTGGGAGAGGGGACATTTCTTCTCTTCCTGATGGGATCCCCTCATGCTGGGCTAGGGGCCCTGGGTGACCATGTCCTCCACACCCTGCCTTGGACCTGGGTTCTCACTCCATCTGGGACCCTCTTCTAGTCTACATGGAGCTGCCCTGACAGTGGAAGACTGTGTGGCTCAGGGAGCCCTCCAGGGTCACAGTGAGTGGCTCTGATTGTGCGTCATTTGAGGGATTCTGAGGAGCCTCACGCATCCCCACCAAAGAGGAAAACACTTCTTTCACCAGCTGTGCAAGTGCCGGTTTCCTCAGGCTCAGCCACTCAGATGGGTGTTTCCTCATGTTTTGAATCTTTAGAGGTTCCATAAAGTTGCACACAGCCTTGGGGTACAGGCTCATGAAGCTGTCAGAAATTAACATATAACCCCTGAGAGATCCGGGGTGCTGGGTCCTGGGTCAGGAGTCAGTGAGGTGGGCTTGAGGGGCCATGGGTAACAGGACTCACAGCACATCTCCTGCTTCCCAGTCAATATGGGCAGTGGACAGACCCAGTGTCCTTCTGCTGAGAAGGCCAAGGGTATCGGGCTTGGGTGAGAGCAGAAGCCAGGCAAAATGATCATTAAAGGTCCTTCTAGCCAAGTTTTTATTAAAAAAAATAAAATTCTAGGTTCACAGTTAGACAATCTGAAAAGTATGAGGGCACAGTCCCGGGAATATCCTTACATTTCCCATCAAGGGCAAATTTGGGGGATCCCACAACCACCCTCAGATTCTAGAACTTCTTAGAAGGATGCACAGACTCACTTAAAGCTTCAGGATCCCAGTTATGGTTTTTCACAGGGAAGGATGCAGTTTCCCATCAGCCACAGGGCAGAGTCTGGGCATGTTTCACACATGAAGGTCCCATTGTCCCCAGGATGCGTTACTGTCCTGGATTCAGTGGGGCAGGACACATGGAGCACTGCCCGCCAGGGACGCTCACCCTATTTAACAACAAATTACCCTGACCTGTCATCTCCAGCCCCTCCCAGAAGTCAGACTAATGCTCTAGATCCCAGCTCCTCCGGAGGTCAGAACTGATACCACGTGACCCAGAGGCCCATCACATGTCAATTTGTCAGACTGTCCAGTGGCCCAAGTCCCAGACAGACGAGGACATTCTTATCAGCCAGAATATTTTGGGGGCCTAGGGACCACATCCTAGCAGCCAAGAGCAAAGAACAAGAGGACTCCTCACTATACACTAAGGTCCTTAAATGAAGGGTTTTCTGCTCTAATCCCACTTCTCTTTGTTTATCTGTGAAGTCCCCATTTTACACACATTCTGGAAGTGATGGTATTGGCCTGCCTTTGAGGTGTCTTTATCAAATATCTCTCTTAAGTTAAAGGTATCCTAAGATGACCTTTGCCTATTTATTCCATGATTGAATAAGTACATGGAGCACTAACAATATCCAAATGAGGGTTTCAGGTTGGAAAAACTTTTACATTAGTAAAATTCTTGTGATTTACAATAAAATCTCTGTGGTTTGTGCAGGATAGAGCTTGTTGAGCCTATTTCATAGACAAGCAAACTGTCTTTCTAAGGCTTTAATGTTCACTGTTACAGGGAAGACGCAGATGTACTCCATGAACATCTGATCAAGCTGCTAACAGACTTGGCCAGGGAGGACCCAGACAGGCTCCAAAAATACCAGCAGGAAAAGGAGAGGTTTTTGAAGGAGTTTCCTCAGGTAAAGCAGGAGCTGAAGGAGAGCATAAAAAAGCTCCGTGAGCTCGCAGACCATGTTGACAAGGTGCACAGGGACTGCACCATCTCCAATGTGGTAGCCTCCTCCACCGGCATTGCGTCTGGCACCCTGAGCATCCTTGGCCTGGTTCTGGCACCCTTTACAGCGGGCCTCAGTCTGGGACTCTCAGTCACTGGAATAGGGCTGGGAGCAGCAGCTGCTGTGACAGGTGTGTCCACCATGGTGGTAGAAAAGGTAAACATGTCATCAGCAGAAACCCAGGCCAGTCTCCTTGACACAGCCGAAATAATTTCCTATGGCTTGGATCTCTACGAAGTTAAAGACTTTGGGAGGCATATTCACGCCATCAGGGTGGCCAGAGGCAACCCTCAATTAGTAGCCACTGCTCAGCGCTACATAACCACCGGGAGAGTCTCTGTCCAAAGTGCCCAACAGGTGAGAAGGCATTTCAGAGGCACACCTCTGGCAATGGGTAGAACAGCCCGCATCGTGAGTGGGGTCACGTCAGGTTTATTCTTGGCGCTGGACGTGTACTCCCTGGTGAAAGACGCACAGGACTTGCAGGAGGGGGCAAAGACAGAATCAGCTGAGAACATGAGGCAGAAAGCCCGGGAGCTGGAGACGAAGCTGGAGGAGCTCACCTGGATCTATGAGAGTCTGCAATAGGGCCCGACTGGCCACCCCTAGAGCAGTGCAGGGACCGGGGACGTGTGCAGGGTCATGGGGAGAAACCGCTTGTTTTGGACTAAAGAAGACACGGAGGGCAGAATAAGGGAGAGACAGGGAGACGAGCAGTGAGAGGCCAGGAATAGGGGAGCTTTGAAAATGGGAGAAAGCCAATGAGTTAGGATTGCAGAGTTCCAGCACAAGTAGCAGGGGCTCCTCTGTCGCCCTCCCCAGGGTTTGATATTCCAGCAAGAAGGGTTTCCCCCTGGTGATGGTCTCTAACCCTACTTCGCCAGCATCAACTCACCTTTGACTCAATAGGTAGTGACTTGTTTGTTTCCATATTTTATTAAAGTATAGTTGATTTACAATATAGTATTAGCTTCAGGTATATAGCAAAGTGATTCAATTATACATGTATCTGTGTCCATATTTATCCTTTTTCATTTTTTATGAGTTCTTCAGTTTAGTTCAGTTGCTCAGTCATGTCCGACTCTTTGGGACCACGTGGACTACAGCAAGCCCAGGCCTCCCTGTCCATAACCAACTCTTGGAGTTTACTCAAACTCATGGCCATTGAGTCAATGATGCCATCCAACTATCTCATCCTCTGTCATCCCCTTCTCCTTTAGCCTTCAATCTGTCCCAGCATCAGGGTCTTTTCAAATGAGTAAACTCTTCACATCAGGTGGCCAAAGTATTGGAGTTTCAGCTTCAGCATCAGTCCTTCCAATGAATATTCAGGACTGATTTCCTTTTGGATGGACTGGTTGGATCTCCTTGCTGTCCAAGGGACTCTCAGGAGTCTTCTCCAACACCACAGTTCAAAAGCATCAATTCTTCAGCACTCAGCCTTCTTTATGGTCCAACTCTCATATCCATATGTGACTACTGGGAAAATCTTAGCTTTGACTATAGGGGACTTTGTTGGCAAAGTGATGTCTCTGCTTTTTAATATGCTGTCTAGGTTGGTCATAACTTTTCTTCCAAGAAGCAAATGTCTTTTAATTTCATGGCTGCAGTCACCATCCACAGTGATTTTGGAGCCCAAGTAAATGAAGTCTGTCACTGTTTCCAATTTATCCCCATCAAGGAGGGCTGCATGATGCCAAATTTTCTCCCCACTCATGGAAGATGGAGGGATGTGGACACAGCAGAGTGGGCCCCAGAGTCTCTGTGAAGGAAGAATTCAAGCAGCTCTCCGCCTGCAGAAGTGAGTTGACACTTGATGCCAGTTGCAGAGGGTCCCCATTGGCCCCGCCAGACTCAGTTCCCTGTGGCCCCTAGGGACTCGGGCCTTGAGCTCACTTCTTCGGACAAGAGATAATTGATGTTTACGACTCATCTCAAGCTAACAGGGAGCATTTATGGAAGGAAAGTGTCAGGGAATGTTTAACAGTACGATTCCTGTGTGCTGTTTCCTATCTCTCTTGAGCCCGCTCTTCCTTATCAGTCCACGGCTGGTGAGAGGAGCAGGCAAGCCTCTCTCACGATGGAGATCAAAGAGATGGGATGCTTGCATAGGATCTCCTTCATTAGCTTTTCCATTTGGTGAAAGGGATTGCTTACGACCCTCTTTTGACATGGATCGCCTTTTGGCCTTATGGCCTCTATTGCTCCTTGCTTCCTTGGTAACTTGGAATAAAGTCTGATCTCTTGATCTTTATCTGAAGAAGCTACCTTGTATTATGGTATATATACTCTTACAGAATTCAATAAAGCACCCTTGTTCCGTCAGAGCTTGGGTCCCTGTGTCTTTCTTTCTCTCTCTCTCTCTCTATTTCTGGCTGATTCCCTGGAGCATGAAGGCTAGCTGCATAACCCCAATAGGAAAGTACATTTTTAGACTACTGGAAGGTTTAAGGATTTCTCTTCCTCTAAGGAAATGGCATAGTCCAGAAAACAGACCAACCAGCCAGTTTCCCAATTTGGGGGCAAGTCTGAATCTCAGTTTTCCCTGGTGACATTGACATAGTAAATGTTTTCATCACAGGGCTGAGGTAGCTTGCACGACGGTGTGTGTGAAAGTGTTTTACAGACTGTAAAGGGTTCAGGTGCTGCTATGTTTTCCCACAAAGGTTCAGCTTTTTAACAATTTGTTTTCATTTTTGAAAATCATCAAATTTACCATTTTACCCACTTTTAAGTGTACAGGTCAGTGGTATTAAGGAAACTCACATCATTGTACAGCCAGCATCACCATCCATCCACAGAATGTTTTACATCAACAGTGAAACTCTGTCCCAATTATATACTAATACCTCATTCTCCCTCCTCTCCACCCCTGGAAAGCACCAGTGTGCCCCTGATTTTTATGAATTTGACTCCTCTCAGGACCTCATGTGACTGGAATCATACAATATTTGTCCTTTGTGATAAGATTTTTTTTCTTTCATTTTTACTTCCTGTGGTAAAATATACACAACATAAAATGTACCACTTAACCATTTTTAAATGTACAGGTGAGTGGTATCAAATACATTCATATACTGTGCAGCCATCACCACCATCCATCTCCATATTCTTTCTTCCTGAAACCTGAGACTCCTCTGGACCGTGAGTCCCCCTCCCCCTCCCACAGCCCCTGACAAACACCACCCTACTTTCTGTCTTGATGGATTTGCCTACTCTGCAAACCTAATAAAAACAGAAAATACAACAATAAGTTTCTTGTAACTGTTTTATTTCACTGAACATAATGTCTTCAAGGCACATCCAGGCTGTAGCACGTGTCTGAAGTTTCTTCCTTTTAAAATAATTTTTTAAAAAGATCTTTCTTCCTTTTTTAAGTGAGTAATAGTCCATGGTATGTATAGACAGAATTTCTCTTATATTATTTTTCTTTCTTCCTCACTTTGGCTATTGTGACGAGAGCCGCCTGGCAGTGAGTGGCCGAGACCAGTTCCCTTGAGGTCACCTGTGCTGTCAGCCTGGAGGGGATCCCCTGTGCTCTGCCCTCTGGGGTCCACCTCCATCAGCAACTCTGATGACTCTAAAGCCCTCTGGTCACATGCTCAGTGTGAAGCTACCTACTCACTCCCACCGATCCTATAAAAAGTGACGAGGACAGGCAGGTGGATCGCTGTAGCCATCGTGGGGTAGTTCTCTTGTGATGGTGGGGTTAAGTGGAGCCCAATTTTATCGTCACTGAATCTTTAGGGTCTCCACATGGGGTGGTCTCAGCTCATGCCTTGGGTTGAAGCCTTGCTGAATCCTCACCTGATTTGAGTCTGCAGCTCCCGTGGCTGCTCTCCCATGAGCTGGTGTTTATTGAGCCCATGACGGGCTGGCGTCTATTAAGCGTTCTCAGCAGAGGACCTTCATGACAGCTGGACACAGCTCCTCTGGGTTAGCTGAGTTCTGCATCTCAGGGAGGTTTTGCTTAACTTCCAGATAAACTCATGCTAGTGGAAGAGAGAAGAATCACTAGGAGGGAGTTTACTGGGGAAAAAATGATTTAAAGGAAAAAAAAAAGGAACTTTAAACAAGGAGTGGCGTTTACAATAGGCAGTGACAACCTTGGTTTGAATCTTGGTTCTTCCCCTGAGTTGCTGGAAGAAAGCCCCCTCCTCGCCCCTGCCATCAGCTACCTTACTGCAAAAATCAGGTCAGATTCCTGGTCTGTGTTCCAGGGTAATTGTAAGACTAAACTGTAGAGTGTGCTCCTCATGGAGTAACACCCATTACTCCTCTGTCCCTCCCTCTAAGATGGGGAAGGTGACCATGATGACCAGGGCCGTTTTTTGGGATGAAACAGCCCTGAAGGATGGGCAGGTGGGCCTCCATGGGGGGGTCCAGCCCCACTGCTGCCCCTTGTGGTTGGGGCAAAAAAGAAAAGTCCACCAGGACTCTCAGGCTGCCTACAGCCTTTTCTTCTGTTTCTTTATCTGAAAAATGCAGTCAACACTTCCTAGAGCTGATGTGAGAGTAAACAGGAAAGGTGTGGACAGAGCCTGCACAGAGGGTGGCTAATGCTCAGCCCTCCATACACTTTGGCTCTTTGCTTAGGAACCAAGCAGAAAATAAGACTGGTTTTCCGTTGTTGACTTTTGAGTTGCCAGATCACTAGCCTTCCTGTAAAGGTCCTCCATTTCAAGAAAAGAAACTGCAACTAGAAATAACCCAGGGTAGAAAATAGCAGCGTGCTCTCAGCCCTTCCCACAAACTTTCCATTCATCCAAATGACCTTGACCACCAAGGCTGGGTCTCCTCAGGCGAGTTGCTGGGACTGGAAGGCACTAGTTCTATGCCTGTAAGCAGGGCCAAGTCTAGAAGGACTTGATCAAAAGGAGTGGGGGTGGGGCGTGGACAGAGTGGCTGAGGGGTGGCATTGGGCCCCTCTCCCAGGTACCAAGGGAGCAGAGCAAGGACAGGGGACTCTGCAGGGGAGGTCCTGGAGGGCTTCTCAGTGGAGGTGATGCCAGACTTTGGCTTTGCATGGTGAGTATGATTTCTCCAGGTTCGATGCAGCAGGTGTCCCTGGCAGAAGGACCTGCATGAACAAACCCTAGAAGCCACATGGATGTGACCCTCATCAGCAGCAGTATGACCAGTATGTGTTGAGAAGCTGGTGTGCTCTGGAACTGTGTACGTGCTGGTGGCATGAGGGTGAATAAAGCAGGCAGGCTGGTGAGTGGGTGGGTGGGGAGGGCTGAGGGGGTGGAGAGACGGCCATGGGTGGGGCAGTGGGTGGCCATGGGACTCACGGTGTGTTGACAGGTCTCCTTCAAGGAACTGAGGCAGGGGGGCTGTGTCAGAAGGACGTGGCATGTCAGGGCTGGGCTTGTTTCTCTAAGGGGGCAGCAGGAGGGTGGGAATAGTTCTGGGCTGGGATTGGTGGGGGCAGGGTGATGGTAACTTGAGCCACTCAGAAGTGAGGGTTTCACTTTCCCTTCTGGTTCTCCGAATATATCTGGGACCACAAGGTGTGCGTGGTGTATTTCAGAGACACACAGTAGGTGGCTGCACTGCAGAGCTGAGAACAACTGGATTTAGTTCACACTCAGCCAAAGGGAAACTCCTGGGTAAGCAGTGGGGGTAGGACCCCCGCCCATCTCCCTATTCTCATGACAATTTTCTGAGAAAACCTTGATTGTCACTAGTTGACAAAAGAAGGGAAATGGATGCTCAGAGAGGTGAGACCATGGCCTGAAGGACAAAACCTGGATGTGGAAGCAGGTGTATCTAATGGCTTCCTCCCGCCCCTGGAACCCCTAAACAGTGCAGAGGGAGGTAGATGCCTGCTCAGGTGGTCTCAGCTTGGGATGTGGACCCCTGAGACATGAGCGGTTACCCCAGAAGGAAGGTGTATGTTGTGGGTGCTCAGTCCTTTGGGAAATTTCCAGAAAGCTGAGGGGATGAAGGAGGGCAGGGGGGCTAGAGTCCTTCCTCCCTGTGGCCTGGCCACCTTGAGTCTGCCCCTGGGTGCTGTGCTGGGGCTGGTGGGGGCAAATGGTTTCTTTTGAGATACAAGGAATCAGGTTTCATCACCCACCCTGTTTCTGAGTGACTGCTCAATGCCAGGTCCTGGGGGTGGGGGAAAAAGGTCTGAGGGAGGAAGGACAGGAGACCAGTGGGGAGACGCAGGCCTTGTCGCACAATGCCCACATTATGATACAGGTTTTACAATCTTAAAACAAGAAGCCAAACTGTAGATACATCAGTATAACAAGAGGGGCATGAGATTAGATCTATGTGTTTATAAAGGTAGAGACAAACCTAGAAATTTCTGGGTTATTAAAATCACATTCCACTCCCCTCCCTTACATACCCATGCCAGAAGGTCTGGACTTGGCCTCCACTCTGTCCACGGAGAGCTGTGTGACCCTGGGCAAGTTGCCTCCCCGGGAATTGTCTGTTCACACCTCTTACCCATTTGTGAAAAACTGCATTCAGTCTTTTCATGTGGATTTTAGGCTCTCTCTGTGTTGGGAATGTTCATCTTTGTCTACTATAAATATTGCAAACAGTGTCATCTGGTCTCTCATTCTTTTCTAACTTGTTTTGTGGCATCCTTTTGAAATATTTAGTTTTTAAGAAGTCAAATAAATCAAACCTTCCTTATGGCTCTGGCAATTATGTCTTGATGAGAATGGTTTCCTCAACTCAAAATTATTTTTAACATTTTTTCTAGTATGTTTGTAGTTCTTTTTCTTTTCCATTTTCATTTAGATCCTTTGGAATTGATTGATTGCTTAGAATCTTTTTGTCTCT